TTTGAAAATCGGCAAAATACAAACTTTTATTTGAACACAGGCCCTACCAGCAGTAAGCAGCTGTGTAGAACCACCAGAAGGAGAAATTGTTAGGATCATTTATACTACTATGAGTAAAAAACGGGTACGAAAACACTTACATCAGCCACTTCTTCCTTTGCCTCCACCTTCATCTCGTTCCGAATTTCCTCGTCCGCCATGATTGCCTAAGCTCCAATCAAAACAAACATCAACAATACAGATATCTGAGGTCATCAAATCCCGATATGCAGTTAGTCACATTCGATTGTAACTTCTCAAGCAAAAAAAACAAATTTCAACCAAAAACATCATTGTAACCCTAGAACACTCTACCAATCGAGATCTTTACCTTCAAGATAACGCAAAGAAAATTCCTTTTTCCTCCCAGCCGGCGGCAATTTGCGACTGATCCGAACTGAAACCAAAGAACGTAGATGGTTGGATTGGAATGAAACCTAGGGATTATTAGGAATTATGATGTCTTGGGTTTTCGCAAGTTTCTATTTCTTCTTTACATATATACACGGAGAACTCGTGTATCTGGATATCCGAATAATTCAGCTTGGTAGAAACTGAAAAAAAATATTGGTTTATACCTTCGATGTGAGTGGATTGCTGCGTGATCTGAAAATACGACTTACCAAAGAACCCTTCTTGGCCTGGTGCGAGTCGCCGGAGAGCGTGAAGCGGCTAGGGTTGAGACAAGGAGTGAATCGGACTTATCAGGAAGGAGGGCGGCTGGTCGGCGCAAATTGTATTCACGAATCACTATGAGTTTTGGGTTAATTGGGTTGGGTACTCAATTAATACTTTTATGTATTTATAAATAAATCAAAACTGATTATAAACCATTTTTAATTTATAAATTAGCTAATAACATATATTTCTCTGTTTATAAATTAATTTATAGATTGCTTATAAGTTAGAAAAAAATAAATTAGTTTTACCTGTTTATTTCTAAGTTAATTGCTTCTTTTCTCTCTTTTGATCAAATTATTTACAAAATTATCAACCACCATTTATGAATATTTCCACATGACTTGTCTATCATTGATGTCATTTTTTGATATTTTTTTTTCACAAACTAATATTTGGGTTATAAACAATTTATAACTTAAAAATTATTTACCAGCAACAAGTCAATAAGCATTTACACAGAGAAATACCCTCAATCTATTTCGGTATTCGCTAAATACAAAAATGCCGATTTCATAAATAATTTTTTTGATGTTCCATAATGTTGGTGTTAGATTGAAGTTAAAAATGTAATTTCATTACAATCATATATTTTTCTTGTCATACGCAATCCAATAGGTCATAGTTAACGCGTCGTTTGTGAATGCTAATCCCTTTCGGGTAAATTTCACCAATGGTACCTGAACTTTAGCTGGAATTTCGAAGTGGTACTTGAACTTCAAATCCTTTCACAAAAATCCCTGAACTTACACAATCCTTTCACTAATGAGCCATTAGCTCGTTTCTAGGTTAACTTCCGGTCATTAGGGCCAAATTCGAATTTTATATATTTTAAAATTTTCAATTTGACCCCATTTCTTCTTTTCTTTTCTTCCAGGCCCCGCCGCCGCCGCCCGCCGGTCAAAGTCGCCGGAAAATGAACTTTTTCCGATCTCGGCGGGACCAATGTCATTCTCTTCGTCTTGAGACGAGGATCAATAATATCCAAACCATTTTGTCCAATTTGTCGTGTAACTTCTCGAATCTGAATTTTTCTACTCGGAGCGTTTTCCGGCCAACTCCGGCAAAATTGACGGCGGGAACCAACTCCAATGCGGTCGTGGCATCCGGGCGACCTCCAAGGATCCCTCAATTGCAAGATTTGATGACGATTTGCAAAACCCCCCATTTTGGACCCAATTTCGATTTTAGGGTTTTTTCGAGTACAAAAACTCAGATTCGAGAAGTTACAGGCAAAATTAGACAAAATGGTTTGGATATTATTGATCCTCATCTCAAGACGAAGAGAATGACATTGGTCCCGCCGGAATCAGAAAAAGTTCATTTTCCGGCGACTTTGACCAGCGGGCGGCGGCGGTGGGGCCTGGAAGAAAAGAAAAGAAGAAATGGGGTCAAATTGAAAATTTTAAAATATATAAAATTCGAATTTGGCCCTAATGACCGGAAGTTAACCTAGAAATGGACTAATGGCTCATTAGTGAAAGGATTGTGTAAGTTCAGGGATTTTTGTGAAAGGATTTGAAGTTCAGGTACCAATTCGAAATTCCAGCTAAAGTTCAGGTACCATTAGTGAAATTTACCCAATCACTTTCTACTGCAACCATTATCCACGGATGTTGTCTTTATCAGAATTCTAGTATGCAATCATAGTTATTATTGAGTTGTCTGTCTAACCAACATTAGAATACGTCACTGAACTAGATTTGATGTCAAATTATACTTTTAACCTCAAATTCATACTAATATAGTATGTAAAAAAAGACCATTAATAGAAAAATATGTATAAAAAAGAGTCATGCGCATAATTTTTAATTATATACGACTAAATATGAAAATTTTCCTATAATAAAGGATCAATTATATAATTTTTTTAAATAAAAATGTTGGTTTTGGTTTTGATACGTACCAAAATTTGAGTTTTGGTATAGTGCTGTTGGTTTACCAAATTATGTACCTCCTAGTCTAGAAGATATACAGAAGCTTATTACATGCGATTTTTGTAGCTCCAAAATTTTTTATTCTAAATGATATAGGGGGTACTTTTTTATTTTCTTTTCCCTGTGTTTGTGATTATTGACATATTACTGATAAATAATTTTGAACTTACAAGTTACTTATAATTTAAATATTTTTAAAAAAAGTAAAATGACTTCAAGTGTAGATAAGTCATTTAAAAATATCCATAAATTGTAAGAAATACTTTTATAAATAATCTAGTCAAAACGAAGAAACAAAAAACCGACTAAAAAACAAGTAGGTAAGACCTACTTATTTATTCTGACTCATAAGCGCATATAAGTCAACTTATAAGCAATAAAAACATTTAATCAGTTAACTTATAATTTAGAAAAACTACTGATAAACAATTTTGATCAGCTTATAAGTACGGAAAAACACTCACAGATTTCCCCAGTTCCTAAATAATCATAGATTACATGGAAGTTAAAATGAGGTAAAATCTAAAATTTCTATTTATTTTATTTAAAATTTTGTATATAAATAAAAAATAAACAAGTATATTTAAAAATTATGTTAAAAATTTATAAAATAAGAAACAGAAATAATGGTTTATTTTTCAAATAATCAATAATAATATTCCAATAAACAAATAATATATACAATTTTTAAATAATAGAGGGTGCAATCTATATATAGGAAATAACAAATAGAGTATAAGTTATAAGAGTAATCAATTTTTTTTAGTTATTGACTCTTGTATAAACCGATGGACAAACATATTTTTGACATTAGATTTCAATGGTAGTTACTATGCATCAAGAAAAAAAATTATGGTTTCTACCTCGTAATATCTGATATACCATCTACTCTGGTTCAGTCCTAACACACCTCTGCCATCCCTCCAATTACACTCCCTAAACTTTGTTGGATCGAGGTGAAAAAATTTCTATAAAGTTAGACAAGGCATTCACCAAAGAAGTTTAGAGAGAAGGGATCATCTATATTTTGATCAAAAGAGACACCCTAACTTTGAACTTTTTAACAAAATGGTACCTCATCTTCTATTTATAACGAAACAAAATGATACCCCTTGGTCTGGATCACGATAATCTAGCTATAAAATGCTGAGTTGACATTTTTGTTGGTTTTTTTTGTTCTTCTATATAATCAGTTGTTCATAAAAATATATCGTGAGAAGAAACTAGAAATGCTTCATAAAGGAATGTACATACATGCTTCATAATTTGTACTTCTCATAAAATTTATTGAGATATATTTTTGGTAGTTACATTTATTTGTCTTATATAAAAATGCAGTTTGGTTCCATGACATCGAAAATCAATGTTATGGGATGATTAGAGGTGCCTACGGTACTTTGTTCGAAAAGTTAATGCCTTGATGTTTATATTCCTCCTACCCCTGTCTATCTGATTGTACTTATATTTAAACCTTTTTCTGATTGATATGATTTGTTTTAATAAGTAAATAAGAACATCTTCAACCATCAACACTAAACTCAAACTCAAAATACAAAATATCAAATCAAGTAGTACTTCATCTACATTCCTTTACAGTTTACACCAAGCCCAAACTCATTTTTTTCTAACAATATACTTAAAATTAATTTTCTTAGTACTTTTAACTCGACATATTTGAAAAAAAGAACAAAAAAGATAGATCTAAAAAAAATAAATTTAAAAATTACTTTAAAATTTTTATAAAACAAGAGAGAGCAAGAATTTTTATTTTTCAAATAACCAATAATAATACTCCGTATATAAAAAACATGATTTTTGAATAACACAATGTCTATTATATCTAGGGATGACAAAGAGTATAAGTTATTAAGAAAAATCTTAGATAAGTATTCATTTTTTAAAGTTTGGAGAGGACTGGCAAGTAATCCCAAAAAAAGGATAGCATTTTTAAAAAATAGCATTTCAAAAAAAAAAAGATTAGCATTTAAAAAAGAAGAATACGGAGTAGCTTTTAAGAGTTATGAGAGGAATGGCAACCAATCAATGAGCAATGCTAGGGGTTTTACACCAAACGTGTACCTCATTTGTCCCACACTCCTTTCTCTACCATAAAATTTAATTTTATTTTTATTTATTTAATTTGTTTTAATATTTTGCCTTTTGGTGTACTCCTAGCATTTTTCACCCATCAATACATAACAATAAAGGAACAACGCCTTTTAAAATTCTCTAATTTTTTTAAAATTAAGGGATTAATTAACTATGGGGTACAAAAAAAGAATTAATTAAAAAAGGAATTAATTAACCACACCATATTGCAGTGGAAAGCTCATCTCAAATGCTTTTCGTAATTTACCCATTGCGGTAAATTTCCCTCTTTTAACTGTTTTACAAAATTTGCTACTAGAAATAATTTACCGATTTACGGCAAGAAAACGGGTCTGTCTTAGTATCTTTTCCCGCCAAAACTATCACGGCACCCTTGCAGTTTCCCGCGCGGGGAGTTTTAATTTACGATCCTGAGAGTGGGACTGCTTTATCTGACGTCAGCGAGAAAATCGTCAAAGTCAAACTCTCCGAATTCCTCGGTCCGGCGGTTCCCGGGGAACGGGTAATAAGCTGACAGGCCGAAGGACATGTTGTAGTCCAGTGAACAGTCGAATTCTCCGACGAGACCGTCGAACGCCGAAAACTCGCCGTCGCTCATCGCCGGGCTGGGAGTGAGGGAGTCGAAGCGGAGAACGGAGGCGGGCGACAGAGCGACGTCGCTGGACGCGGAGGTGCTGTTCGGCGGAGTGCAGACGGCCTTTTCCGTCGCCGCTTGTCTGGGGAAGTTTGTTACGGCGTCGTCGCCTCTCAGCATCACGGCGGCTCTGTCGTATGCGGTGGCGGCTTCTTCTTGGGAATCGTAGGTTCCCAGCCAGACCCGTTTTCCCTGTGTCGGGTCGCGGATCTCCGCCGCCCAACGGCCCCACGGCCGCTGACGCACTCCCTTGAACTTCTTCAGGCCGCACACGTCAGATTCCGACGGCGACAGGTTCCTCGCCGCCCTCTTCTTCGCGCTTCCCTGAGCCGCCCGATGCTCCGCCCTCTGCGGCGGCGGAACAAGCCTGATCTCCGAAACGTGCCTCTTCACCCTCCTCCTCCCCACCACCAACCCGTCTTCTTCCTCATCGCCGGAGCTGTCCGTGGCGTCCCCGTCAGTGACCACAATCCGAACAACCCTGCTCCGGGCGCCCGGAGAATCAGACCCCAAACCAACATGCTTGTCAGTCGTGACCAAGTGCTCGGAAAACTTCACCGGCGGCTCAAAATCCGGCGTCGAACCTAAGAACTCGTCCAGATCAAATTCCATCGCACAGAAACAAGCCCAGAAAACAACCCCGGCCACTACCCACCTCCGGAAATCCAAGAACGAACTCAGAAAAGCATCAAACCACAGAGAAATGGGAAACTGAAGTGATGGGTCGTCGTCGTCGTCGGAGGTAATAATAATGAAACTAAAGAAGAAGAAGAAGAAGAAGAAGAAGAAGAGTTTCTGTAACTCCTCCTCCTACTTTAATTTTAGGCGGGAAAACGAAGAGTCGGGGGAGGAGAGTGAGGGAAGTGGGGGGGAGCTGGAATTTATTTACTATAATAACAGCAATAATGGAGGAGATGAGATGAGATGGGGTTACGTTATTTGGCGATGGCGGATGGAGAATATAAATCTTTGGGGGAGTAATATATAGTGTAATACAGAAGTGACGGGACAGGGGAAGGGGAGAATGAATGGAGTCCTGAAAATAGAGATAATATATGGCGCTTTGTAATGTGGCTGGCCTACGGAGTAAATCATGTACACTCAACCTCACAGTTTGGCTCGGCCTCAATAAATAAGCTAAGTAGTAATCGGAATACCATCTTGACATTGACCCTTGATTGTCACCATTCAAACCAACAAAAAAGAAAGAAAGGCAAGTGGCACAGTAAAGAATTTTGGTACATTGACCCCAATCCCACCCTTTCTTATTACATGCATGACCCAATTGGAGAGAAAATGCACTTTGAGACCCTAACATTATATTGTAATAATGCCCACACACAATTGTACTCCCATGTGTGTGGCCTGGGTAGAAGTAACCATATAGTCCCTATGTGTTTTTCGCCTAGCGCTCCGCGTGAGAGATGTCGTGATCAAGCGTGGCATTTCCACCACATTTGCGATCACGAATAACATCCATCTTTCAATTCATAATTAGCTTGCATGAACAGATTGCAATCCGTGTAACTAGCGCTTGATGGGAGAGGTCTCGTGACCTGGCGTGGCATTGCCACCACATCCCCGGCTCTTGATAGAGTGGCTTGCATGGCTACTCTTTTTATTTTATTTTTTAATTTTCTTGATTTATTTATTTTTTTTACTGGATCGTCTATCTTGTTTACATTTTTTTGTATGTAGCTCATTACATAATAAATAATACTCCCTCCGTCCCACTAAGATGTTCTCATTTTAACTTTTGGTAATTTTCAAAGAGAGTTGAAAAAAGTTGAAAGTTTCCCATAATACCCTTAATGAAAATGGGTGAAGTTATTAAATGAGGTGGTGAGGCGGTGTAATAAATAAAGTAAGTGGGGGTAGTTGTGGTATTTTAATTGTTAAAAAATGAAATTAGAAGATCTATTGTGGACAAAGAAAAAGTGCTATTGGGAAGATATATGGGGGACGGAGAGAGTATATGATTGAAACTTTTTCACAAAATCAACCAACAACACGAATATTACATACCCTAATATAGTTTTGATGTTATATATGTATCGTTTATACGTAGTATTTTTTGCCCGAACATTTCTGAATTAAACAAGTTATGTTTTATTGGTTTACTTTTGGAAGGAAATGTGTTGTAAGTTTAAATTATTCTTCCTTTTATAAATTTTATTATTCTATGTTTTCCTATAAAAAGTAAAAGAAAAAATTTTTTCAAGGAGGGAAAATAATTAAAACCAAAAACAATTTAAAAAGGCATGGATATATAGAAAAAACAAAACTATTAAAAAAAGATAAAAATTTAAAAAAAAATAGTACCCCCCAAAAATTGAAAAAATGATATAGCAATACAAACCAAAAATATTAAAACAAATTTTAAATAAAGTATTGAAAAAATTATGAAATAGAAAAACAAGAAAAAGAATAAATTTTAATTTTAATTTCAAAATATATAATATAATTTGAGTATGGATAAGTTATTATAAAATAAAAAATAATATTGTAAACATTGCAGTAGAAGTGAAGTACTAAATGTCTTAAATAAATGGAAAAAAGAGTGCAGTCGGCGATGAATGACTGCTGATTTAAAGTGAGTAGTGGTGAAGCGCAATAGATAGCCTACACTCTAATTTTGTGTATTTTAGTTTCAATTTTATTATACCTATGACTTAGTATACGTTGAATTCGCGACTATGATTGTTCTTCAGTATATATGCAATTGTGATTGTGTAATGTTAATCTTCAATTCATACTTATAGTAGTACAAAGGCAATTTTTATTTTTAATCAATTCACGTGTTAGAATTTACAAAATGACTGTTAGACTAGATCCCACATCGGAAATCCAAGAGTAAAATAATCGGTATATAAACTTTAGAGTTGAACTAAGTAATCGATTGGATTCAATCTTTTAATGTGGTTCAACCCAAGTGTCTTATTGCCCAATACAGTTGTTCATACCCATCCTAAATTCTATCATGGTATCAGAGCAGGTTTTGGTGCACCTCGTTTGGTCTTTGCTAAAGTGTTACGAAGCTTACTCCTCTTCATTTAACCGTTTTTTAACATTTCAACGGTTCTTGTAAATCTTGTAAATTAAACATTATTGGTAATATTGAAATATAGGAAAAATGATTGGAGAAATGGTTTGGATAGTGTCATAACCATTTTGCAGTGTGTTTCTGGTGCTGGGGTACACATGCATGCTCCTAAAATTAGTGGGAACACAAATTCGAAGCATGACACACGAAATATTCTTTTTACAAATAAAACTTTGAATCTTAGCCTTATTTTTCACCCATTGCAAAGACAACTCAAATAGTTCAATTTGATTGTACTCCCTCCGTCCCAAATTATAATGCATATTCACTATTCACTGGGTCAAACTTCTTTCACTTTCTTTCTCAATTTTCGTTAGCAATTTGATAAAATAAAATATTGTTGTCACTACTAGTTTTGTAGATCTTTTGATATAGTATTTTGATATGTAATTTTTATTTTTTAACTCTATACCATTTGTCATATAAAATGATTTGAAAATAACGTCAGTCAAACATCGTAAATCGAAACATGCGTTATAAAATGGGACGGAGGGAGTAATTTATACCATATTAATTTAGACGATGCATATTTCATACTACATCTGTCTTGAAGTATTTGTCCGGTATTTTGAAATCAATTAAATGAAAATTAAAAAATTTGGAAAGTAGAAAAAATGGATTCGTTGTGTGGCGTGCATAATTGTTGTATAGTTGTTACAATGGCCAATACCCATATGACCCGGGTCCATTAGTACGAAAGTACAGGAATATGATGTCTATAAATGTACATGTATTATACTAGTCGTGCACTCTACAGATACATTATGGATTGTCATTAATGTCTAAAAATCGTATGTACTTTTTATAATCCTTTAGTAAGTCCCAAACCATTGCTAAAGTTTGCAGCTGAACAAAGGATCGTGAGTTATGCCCAATTTACCATTGATCGGGTTCCGTGGCCGATACCTGACTAGAGGTGCGAGTGCGAGGCCCGTCTGGGGTGTGGTTAATCGCTTGTAAAATTTGCAATAAATAGGACTAAAACATAATGACTTTCCCAATGTAGGACTTAAACTTTTTTATTCCCTAAATAGGACTTAATAATGACCTAGTGGAGGAATAATGTCCAGTAATGATGAACATTTACTTGAATAATGACTACCTGATAATGACCAAAAGTCCTACATTGAGAAATAAAAACATATGGTCCTATATAGAGAAAGTCATTATGTTTTAGTCCTATTCAGGTAAATTTCTCTAATTGCTTCCCTGAGTGTTAGAGGTCAGTAGCAAAGGCCGAGTGATGGGCCATAGTGCTAAGCCCGAGTATTGTCACTTTGGTGCCATTTTGCATCTTGGGCTATAGCTGGGCTTCACGTTATTGATTGAGTCGGATGCCTCGATCGTCATCCCCCATGATATCAATCAACAACAAGTTGAGTTATAAATTCAATACAATTGAGATATCATTAAGTTCTCTTCATAGCATTTGCTTATATGTCTTGGTTAACATGATAGTCTTGCAACACATAGAGATTTGAACTCCGATGTGTCATTACAATATTCAATATAGAATACAAATCGAGTTTCACACTATTTGACCCCAAACTTTTTTTCAAAAATTATGCAGATTCACCTTGAACTTTTAAAATTACACCAATGTCCCTCCACTATTAAAAAATGTTGCACCAATTGTCTCTCTACCTCAGATTTGGAAGTATGTTAATCACACACTCATCAATATACGTGTTTGAATTTAATTAAGATGTCATGGATTGATAAAAAGGTTGATCAATTGATCACTAGCTTTATCGGCTATGTTCGGCCTTTGAATTCGGTTACCGATAACTAAACCGAAAATAAATATCTAGGTTTAAAAGGTATAAAATAGAGAAGATAATAATTGGAAATGACATATTCTATAGCTCACGTGTGAGATATGACTTTAGATAATTTTCAAGAAAAATATTTTTTCTCAGAGGGAAAATAATTTTCGTTAAAATTCGAAGAAAATTTTTCTTTCTCTATCCGTCCTGTCCCCCGCACCCGCTCACCCCCCACCTCCGTCCACCTACCTTAGATTACTTTACTTTCATTCACTTTCATTAACTCAACATTGTTATTTTTGTTCATACAAACATTTTTTGTACTATATCTGTCCTCTTTAAAACTGCTTGGTTCGACTTGGCACAAGTTTAATGTAAAGTTAAAATAGTTTTGACCTTTCTTGTTTTTTATAATTTTTATCTAGTTTTCAACGGTGTATTTTTTTTAATATAAACATACTAATTTTAAATAAAATCATTTTGATTCCTCAAAAAAACATTTTGAGAGTGAACTATTTTATACTGTACGTACGTTTTTTGGAAAGGAGAAAGTGGGGAGGAGTGATGGAGGGAGTATATAATACTCCCTACGTCAATCTAAGATCTTCCTATTACGCGTTACGAGGCTTGACCGACTTTATTTTTAATTCAATTTAATTGATTATAGAAATAAAATTTAAAAATAAAATTTATATAGTAATCAATTACATGAAAAGTTCTACAAAACTAGAGGTGACAAGACTATATTATTTTTTGAAATGACTAGTAAAAATAAGCAAACAAAGTAAATTTAGTTTGACTCCGTGAATAAGGACTGAGAAGATGTATGATGGACAGAGGGAGTAATAGAACCAAAATTCTAACTTATGTAACTCCGGCGGTAAGAGAGATACGAGAATAGAAGTGTGATTTGACGTGACAGTAAAAAAAAGTACAAAGTACAAAAAAACATTTCATACTCTGTATAGTGTTATAATAATTCCACTACGTGACCGCTCCCGATTTTGGGAGCCACTCCCCAGATTGTGTTCACTACTTCAATTCTACTCCCTCCTTCCAATCTCACACTTCCAGCCACATAAAATCTCATTATATTTTAAAATTATACATTATTCGTCTTAAAATTATCTTTTCGTTCAATATTCATAAGATTAAACTTTATTCACTTTATTGATCTATTTTCGTTATTCATTTAATAAAATAATATCGTCATGTCCCCTCTAATTTTGTAGCTTTTTTGACGTAGTTTTTTAATATGTGATTTTTTTTAAATTTCACACCATTTTTCATTCAAATTGATTTGAAAATAATTTCAATCGAACATTGTACTGCGCAATGAGAAGATAATTTTTGAACGGAGAGAGTATTTATTATAAATTGATATAGAAATAAAAAGTAAAAAATATATTATTCAAAAGTACGATTCTACGAAAACTTTCAACATAAAACACATATAAAACTTCCCCGATCTTGTCACATTGTCACATTGATAACTATAGAATGTTACTTTAATAGACAAGTTATTACGTGGTACTAATGTCGATGTTCATTTTATGAACCTTAGTCTATGGATATCATAAAAGAAGTGAGTTTTTACAAAAAAAGAACAAATTCACTTGTCAGCCCATAAAAAAATGCAAGTATTTTCACATTTCACCTGTAAATAATTAAATCTTAAAACTATAAAAGAATAACTCATTTGATTAAATATTCAACAAAAGAACACATAAATAAACAAAAATTATGATGGGGATGAAGTAGTACTTGTAATTTTTACTTCAAAACGGGTGAGAGGGTACTCCATTCATAATTGTTGCAAGTCCCTTTTTCAAATAAAAGAAATATGTACTCCTTCGTACTTAGAGCTTTGTCCATTTAAATTACTCGTATTAAATTGGTTCTGATCTAGATGAAATTATGGTCTGATTAATTATAATTATATTTAAAACCATTTCTAATTTAATCTAATTTAAATTAAAATAAGTAATACTCCCTCCGCCCCCAATTTTTGTCCACTTTTAACTTTTGGAACTGTTAATCTAAGCACTTTGACTCATCAAATTCTCTCAATGTGTAAGCCTAAATATAGTCATGTGTGATCTTGTTTGATTTTTTTTTCTCTGCTCTCTCTCTACCTTGTCCGTAAGTCCACTGCCCAGCCCTTTTTTTACTCTCCTTTTTTTAGTCAACAAAGTAAAAACACAATTGGGCCCTCCACCAAAGAAAAATGGAACCCAAATAAAATGGGCTGGACTTACAACAGTTTTAACATATAGATTATTAATATATAATTTCTATAATTTTGTAATATAGAAATTACAAGATAAAATGAATTAAAGAAATACATTGGATGATGTTTAAAAATAAAAGTGGACAAATACTCTGGGACAGAGAAAGTAATAAAAAGAATAATTAGTTTAAGAGAATAAGCTGATGCACTCTACTTCTAATCTGTTCTCACCTTTCTCGTGTTGTTGTATTTTGCCGGTTTATTTTAACTACACTTGAGTTAAGGTATTTTGAAAATAAACACTTTACTTTCAAATTTCAATTGAGAGCAATGTGTATGCGGGTATAAATAGATCCTACTTTTTTTGTGGGATTATACTCAGTTTATTATTTTATTGTAGTAGTCCATAATAAAACTATTTTCTCTGTCTCAAAATGTTTGCTACATTACTCAAAGTTAAGCAAAATTTTCAATGTTTCAATTCCTTTTATTTAAAGATTAGTACAGAAATATAAAAAATAAAACTTATACATCAAAAAGCTACGTAAAAAGTTTTTCAAAAGAAAAGGTGACAAAATTATTTTATTTTACGAGTATCAAATAACTGATGAAATTAAAATATACAAATATATAAAAATTCATCATGTGATTTTTTGAATAATGAATTGTGATATTTTTTTAGGACGAAAGGACTACTTAGTTACGGAGTATTATATTTGAAAGGCTAAAATAAGAAAAATAAGATACGAAAAAATATCAAAATAAGACCTGAAAGTCTACCCCTCCTCTCAAATAAGACTTATAATGTCAATATGTTAACATATACTCCGTAATATCAAAACATATTACAGTATGAAATACCAATAAACATTGCCACATTATCATTGTATAAAATCTCAATTAAAGATAAAAGACATGTCACTTCTTTTTTTGTTATAAACGCTATATTTTGCTCTTTTCTTTAAAGGGGTTTGCTCTAATTTTGTGTAATTTATTGATATATTTTTCTTTTTTCTCTTTGGGTTGTATGAGGATACACTTGGGGCACAATTCTTTTATGATATGTTTGGGAACATGGATTTGAATTTCAAATTTGGATTTAACTCAAATTCCATGTTTGGGAAACTTACAAATTTTGAATTTGAATTTGATTCAAATTCTTCTCATTCATAACATTAGGGAAATTTACACTTGATTCATACTTTGGAGTAATATTTTTTCTCACAGCTACACAAATTGTTTAGGAAAAAAAATGCTACTTCTGTTCTAAAAAGAATCCTACATTTTTATATTCGAAAATTACGAAACTTTTATTTATTTGAACATTTTAATCAAATATTTAATAACTAAAATATTTTTGCTATCTTTTTTTGAAGAACTTCCGACACATTTTTTATAATAAGAATTAAATAAAATAAATTAAATAATTTAAAGCTTCATTTCATAAAAAATAAAACAAATATTTTGGGACGAATAAAATAATAAACAAACATTAAATTGAAATGGATAGACTAATTTGAAAGGGAGCGAGGAATTATAGAGGAGTACGGAGTAAAAGATGAAGTGTGCCCATCCGCTAGAGGATTCATAATTCATTTTTGGGATATGCTAGCTAGGGGTACACTTTTGGTGTGACCCAAATGTACACCACCTCCTTTTTTACCATTTATTTTATTTTATTTTTGTTTTTTATTTTTTTTAAACTTTTCTTGCCTTTTTGTGTGGTGATGGAGGAAGTGGGGGATGTTTGGGGTATATTTTTAGTGTACCCCTAGCATTTTTCTTCATTTTTTCGAAAAAAAATCAGAAATTTCAAAAAAAAAAAATCAGAAAAAAAGAGGAACTTGTACAATCTCGGTCAATAATGTTGACTTTGATTGATGGAAAGAGACGTACGGAAGGTTCTCAGAGAAAGGGTGAATATCGAATAATCCTTTTTTTGGGAATGACAGATTGACAAATGCTAATTATCCTGGAAAAAAAATCTCACTTTTTACATGATCTTTGATATTGTCCCAATTTGGCGATGGTGTTAAAGTTCACGATTTTTTGTGTAATGGTATTGACTCTATTACGTTGGGCTTGTTTGAGAATAGCGTTAGAGATTAACGTTAGCGTTTTGAAAAGGCTATCTACGGCCAGCGTTTAGCGTTAGCGTTTTTAAAGTAATCTGCACCGTTATTTATCCAAAACGCTAACGCTAATCTCTATCGCTATTCCCAAACAGGCCCATTGTATTTTTCAATTTAATGACGTACAAAGAGTCAATTCTTCTATCTTTGTTGGGGCTCGAACCTGGGTGAACTTTTCTATGAATCTTAGGAGATGAGCTTCCTGCAATACAAGCCAGATGAGAAGTTCTAGATCACTATTTATGAGAAACTATTGAACGATAGCATTTTTCTAGCATTTAAAAAAAATATTTAATAGTAATCTTTAGTATTAGTGTTTTCAAATTTAATTTGAATTACTTTTTGGAAAATGCTTGATTCACAAACAAAATAGTCACAAAATTCACAAACATACTCTTTTTGAACTTCAATAAATAAATTTAAATAGTCTAAAATAATTTAAAAATGAAAATTTAATCTATAAATAGTAAGTTTGTGAAATTTGTGAATATTTTGTTTGTGAACCTAGCATTGCTCTTTTTTTATTATCTAAAATGTTGATGCAATTTTCTGGAAACATTACAGAGTACTAGCTAAGACTAAGAGTGGCAATCACAATGGTAGAAACATTTTAATTGAGGTTGAGTTTGGCAAACTATACTAAAAATGCACATAGACACACATGTATTTTTAAATTATATCCATTTGTGTCACTTTTCTTTTCATTTCTTCGTCCGAAAACAAATAAGAGGACGAATATATGTCGTACTGTAGTGTGTTTATATAAATTATTATTCCGTATTATTTATTAGAAATACTTGCACTAAATAGCACTAAATTTCCCTTATTATTATGCCCCCCCCACACACACACACACATATATATATATATATATATTAAAATTATAGATATGGTATGTGTATATACAGTCATAAATGTAAAATATTGGGGTAGACAGAACATTAAATCATTGGATGACATTCAACTAATAACGCATTGGCAGTACTATGTTCCATTGAGTTGAGTAGTTCCCCATCTAAATCAAATTTTTAATTTACTACTACTAAATTTTATTAAAGAAAAAAACAGGGCAGTGATTCTCACACACTCTAATGTCTGAATGTGATCTTTGCTACCTAAAGCATATATTAGACCTAACTAACTACTTGATGTTGAAGTTCCATTTTGATTTTGATTTTGATTTTGGCCACAACTTTTATCAAAATAGATTTAGATATGACCGATAAATAACTTTCATCATATTCTTTTATAAACAGTAGTACTAAAAATTAAAAAATAGCTTAGACCGTATGACTAAACTAAAAATAATTTGGTACTCCGTATCAAACTCAACTTATGCGGTATTTGGCGTATAAAGTAAAGGTATTGTTGCCCCTTGTTTGGTGTATAGTACCAAAAATCATATGTAAGAATATTTGAGCATTTGCCAAGCATACCGATCTGACTACAATTCTAATATTGTTATTTTTATGTTTTCATTTTGTGTTTGTATTTTTTTGTATCTTAAAATTAATTATTTAAAAAGTTAAACATTATTTAACAATGTTTTCTAGTATAGGTAATTACTCCATTTGTGTCATTCATTTATACAGTTTTATTTATTAAACATCTCATAGAGTCACATTCAAACCACTTATTCATAAAAGATTGAAATTTTAATAAACATTTTAAAATTAGTTTATATTATTGGTTGGCGAATTAGAATGTATGTACATCCCCACTCGTAATAAAAAAAGTACTCACTCTTTCATAAAATGAATACCAGTGTCACTATTACGACATCTCGATAGTATACATTATAGATCAACAACTAAGTTGATGTCGTAGTTCGATCTGATTTTAACCATAATTTTTATCACAATAGATTTAAATGTGAGGGCTCAAAGTAACTTTCACCATGTTCATTCAAAAACACTAGCACTAGAAAGTACAGAAAAGATAGACAGTATGGCTAAAATAAAAATGAAATAATTTGGAAACAAGTTCAATATAGCCGCAGTTGGCATAGAAAGGTACCGTTACCCCTTGGTTGGTGCCACTGGTGCATAGCACCAAAAATTATAGGTATGAATATTTAAGCATTTGCCAAGCATACCGATCAGACTGCGCTTCTAATATTGGTATTTTTAGGTTTTATTTGTGTTTGTATTTTTTTTTTGAATCTTAAACTTAATTTTTTAAAAATTTAAACTTTATTTAACAATGTTTTCTAGTATAGGTAATTACTCCATTAAATCATTTTAAATTATACAATTTTATTTTATTAAACATCTCAGAGACTCAAATCCATACCACTAATCCATAAAAGATGGAAAATGGAAAATTTAATAAGCATTTTTAATTTAGCTAATGTTATTGGTTGGAGTTAATTATTTTAATAATATTTTAAAACAAATTTACATTATTGATTTAATTAAATTATTTAAAAACCATTGTAATATGGTGGCGAATTAGAATGTATGTACACCCCACCTCCTAATAAAAAAGTACTATATATGTCCCGAAATGAATTATGGTCTCTCGATAATTTTTGTTTATTTTTATATTTTCATGGATAATTTAATAAAATAAAATGTTATTGTCACATCTTGTTTTATTGAACATATTCAATATCAATAAATTCATTTTGATACATGTTTCGCAATATCATACGAGTACTTTTATTTGGGGAATGTTCGGGTGACATTAGGGTCTCATGTCATTCTATGACATGAGCCTCGATTGAAGCACCGTAGATACCCCAGGTCATCATATGACATTGAAATTCAATGTCACTGGAACCGGGGTGCTTTTATCATGTATGAATATATACAAATAGAATATTTGACGTTGTTTTAATATATATCGCATATAATTTGTGTTTTTTTATTTCTGTAGCAAATTGTTACGAGAAATAAAATAACTTTAAAATAGATGAGGGTTTGCATGTAATTCAAAGTGAAGCCATTATTTTAAAACAAAAAGAGTAATTAAAAAAACTCCATAATTACAAAATTAGGCCACCTTACAAAATTTGGGCCTGGAGCAATTGCTCGCTGTGCTCAGCCAAATTGGGCCACCCTACAAATTATGGGCCTTGTGCAATTGCTTATGAGTTGCTATGTCCGTTTTAGGCTTATTCCTGAAGTATATTTGCAAATCGAAAATTACTAATTTTAGTCTTGCATAACGTCCATATTGACAGAAACATAACCTTGTTTGGGAACAACGTTTTTTATTAGCGTCAATATTTTGGATAAGGTTTTATTGGTGTAGATTAATTCTGAAAATGCTAATAATAAAGGCTATTGTCTGATAGTATTTTCGAAACGCTAACGCTAATTTCTAACATTGATACCAAACGAGACCATTTACTTCATCCAATAATATGGAGACATCGATCAAATGTAAACATATAGTTTCTAAGAGAGGTTCTAGCAACATTCAACTTCAATGTCGGACTATTACCCAAGCTCCAATTGAAATTCTTACGACATACTCGTATTATTTTTCTATTCTATTTATTTTTTATTGAGAAACCTTCACAATATCTTTTTTTTTAGAAATTGACAATTCCTACTTTCTAGCAATTTTCAATAAACGCCTCACCTTTCCCAACCTGAATCGACCCACACCATTCTTCAATTGCGCTCCCCAATATTAGTGTATTTTGGGTTTTATTTTAGCACGAATTCTTACAAAAACACTAAAGTAACCTCACATTTGACACTATAACACCTTACAAATATACGCAAGTTGTCAAGATCTCTCTAATACCTGCTTGTACACTTATGGAACACTATAACATCAAAAAATGTGTCAAGTGCATCAAGGGATGTAGGTCAGTTGATTGAGCAAAAAACTGTGTAAATTTGACTCGTAACAACTGCATTTAGTAAGTGCAAGCTAACTCTTGTTAGTCCGTTTGTGATTAAAACTCATATTATCTCTTCTTAGATGTTTGGCCAGTCAATTCTTAAAGCATCCTATGGGGTGTTTTTAGGACTGTGCTACAGTGCTTCATCCACGCATTTACGTATGACAATACAAACAATTTTATACTTACGTCGATGATAATCTTTTGTGAACAACACAGATAATTATTAGCTTAAGGTATAAAATTGTCTATATTATCTTTGTTGAAACTATGAGTGATTAGTTTTTAGCACTCTCCTTTTTTTTTAATGTGTCAAGTGTAGAACTTCTAGAGGAGGTGTGATTACCTTATAGAGGACTCATCCTAACATTACATTCAAAACCAAGGCCACTATCAAGCACAGATTGAGGCGCGTGTTGGCACATCACTTTAAAAGGGCACCCGCTCACCACTCTCTCCCGCACGTGGTACTCCACCAACCCCGAAAGCCACACATCCAACGTCAACACGCGCCGCGCCGAATTCGACACCAGATCGTCGCCGTCCGCCTCCTCGATTTCCAGCGCCTCCACGCGGGACCGCACCGCCACCGCCGTCGTGTTCCGCGCTTCCTGGCGGAACGCGGCCACCTCCGACCGCCCTATCCGCACGCCGTCCAGCGCCACGTCCGCCGTCATCGGCCCGTACTCGAACCAGATCTTGCCGTTTGCGTTCGTCACGTTGAGAACGACGGTGACGTCGGCCGCCAGCGTGGCGTCGCCCTTCTCGTCCTTCCCGACGGTAACGCTGTGGACCTCGAGGTTTTTTACGAAGACACGTGGCACGTTGGCCACGAGGAAGGAGTAGAAGACGAGGGAGCAGGCGAGGGCGAAGAGGGCGGCGGCGCCGATCGCGAGTGAAGTCCACGCGCAGCATTTGGTGCAGCGCGGCCGGCACTTCCTCCTCTGAGCCTCGGCGTCGTCGCCGGAGCTGTAGTAGCTGCCGACGCTGCTCGGGGCGGGGGACGGCCGGTAGGGATTTTTTTGGCGCTTGAAATTTCCGCCGCCGGCGACAGTCATCGGAAAACATATACACCTGTGACGAAACCTAACTGGGGATTATTCCACAGCTTAATTAACGGCTGTGAGATCACATCGAGAGGACAATTAAAAGTGAGTGATTAATTATAATTTGATTTATTATTAATTAATTGATGTATTAGTCCTATTAATATGGATCGCCCCATGATTAATTTCTGGCACTTGAAAGTTTAACTTCATAACAATGCGCAATCCTTCACACTAGCACAAGAATAGCATTTTTACATGCACCACACACACTAAAATATACCCATCCTTGATAGCCTAAAAAATGCCTGTAATGAAATGTATTAAGGATTTAAGGTTAAGACACAACAATAAAACAACAACAACAACAACAACAATCGACTCAGTAAAATGGCACGAATGAGAATTGGGGGTGTTTAAACAAACAAAGGTTACAAAAATAACATAACAATGTACACCAACTTAAAAGAGAATGTGATTTCTCTTAAAACGAGTCATGGGGGTCAAGCATAGCCTAATATTGCTATAAAAACATTGACATCCAACCACACTAACAATCATTAAATCTTCAAAAAGGTAATGGCCAAATAGAGCACAAATGACAAACTTGTTTTTATTTAACGTTGAAATTTGATCATTATCATAATCACACTTTCACCACCTGAAGTCCAAGCAGATGATTTTGCCTGCACTTGCAGCATTTCACAAATGTGTTGCAGATATAAAAGAAGAAGAAGAAGAAGCTCTTGATGGTTCCAACCATAGTGAGAAAAGAATTAAGTATGAAATTGATTGTGAATTCTTTACTAGAAAAAAAAGGGTAAGATTAAAATTAAGAGACTCACAATAGAGAGGTGGGGAATCAAGGGGTTGTCGTTGTCGCCGTCACATCTGAATCCTTCCTCGAGTCTGATTTCTTCGCGTTTTCAGAGTACGCATTATTTTGAACTTCTTCAAGCATTCTGACGACTTCGTCCATGCTAGGCCTCATCTCAGGAACCCTCGCGACGCACGCCATGGCAATCTGCAGCATCTGAACCATCTCTTCCTCTGCACTCTGAAACCTCATCAAATCGGCATCAAACACCTCGGCTGTCCACTCTTCCCTGACCACTGACTGGACCCACCTTGGGAGATCAACCAGGTCGTCCCCACGCCCGGGCGATTGGATTGGTAGTTTCCCAGTGAGCATCTCCAGGAGCAGGACACCGAAGCTGTAAACGTCTGATTTGTGTGTGTGCTTACGTGATTCGATCACCTCCGGGGCCCGGTACCCGGGCTGATTTGGAGCTCCGGAGAAGCTCATGAGTGGGGCCAGGCCAAAATCGGAGACGCAAACATCAAAATCTTGGTTGAGAAGGATGTTTGAGGACTTTATGTTTCCATGGGTGAATTTGGCACCACCCATGTTGTGGATATGGGATATCCCCTTTGCTGCAGCAAGGGCTATCTTGACTCTAGTTTCCCAGTCCATAGATGTTCCTCCTACTGCCTTGTTTACTGTAAAAGATTGAAAATGTATCAGCATGTGGTTGAAATTCACACAGTAACTTTGAAAGTTAAAACCAAAGAATGTAAATGTGTGATTCAGTTAAAATTGTATTATCCCCCAAACCCCAAACTCATAAGACTTACAAATCATTGAAAGGGAGGAATCAAGGAGTACAAACATACCATGGAGAAGTGTGGACAAACTGCCTCTTGAGAAAAAATCATATACTAAAAGCTTCTCGTCCTTGGAATAATAATAAGCACGCAAAGGCGTGACATTAGGGTGTTGTTGTCCAACCCTACCAATGGTTTCCATCTGCTGTTCGAACTCCCTCTTCCCAACTATCACATCTTTCAGACGCTTGACTACAACTGTTGTTGACTCCTCCAGAATGGCCTTGTATGCCGTACCAAAACTCCCCTTTCCCATCACCTCGGCAGAGGCCCTCAGTAAGTCCTCAAGATCAAAGTTATACGAGCATCCTTCGAAGAAAACCAACTTGTTTTTCTCAGCCTCCTGTACCCCGCTGCCGAACTCTTCACTTGGTTTATCATTCCTTCCTCTGTTTAGAGGCTTTCCTTTGGGAGCACATCTGGGATCACTCTCCTTTTTCTTCAGGCAGCACAAGAAAATGAACATAGCTACTATAGAGAGTGACACAGCCCCACTAGCTGCAATGCCAATTATAACCCCCGATTTAAGCTTCTTGTGGCTTTTGTTTTTCGCAGAAAGAGCATCGGGTACATGGGATGGGGGTTGGATAGGGGAACATGACATTAAAGGTAACCCACACAACAATGAGTTGCCCTCAAATGAAGATTTGGGGAAGCTTTTAAGGGATGGCGGGATAGAACCATTAAGTTGGTTGTTACTCAAATTCAAATGTTGAAGTCTTGGGAGCATGAGATTGGGTACAGGTCCAGAAAGGAAGTTATTTTGGAGGTTCAATCCTATCAGTTGAGTCAAATTCTGAAACACGGCAGGAACAGCACCACTGAAGGAATTATTTGAAAGATCCAAAACGTTTAGTTGATGGGAAAACGTGGTGGGGATATGACCGGAGAAGTTGTTATTCTGAAGGAAAAGGTATTGTAGAGATGGAAGAGAAGCGAGGTCAGAAGGAAGACTTCCATTTAGAAAATTGGCACGAAGACTAAGAACCATCAACGCGTCTAGTTTTCCAAGTGTCTTTTCAGGGATGGGACCAGTGAGCCCAAACCCCGGGAGTCGAACAGCAACCACGCGGGGACCCACACCTTTGCTGCAGATAATGCCCACCCAAGATGAACACATGGGGCTTGCTGGATTCCAGTTGATCATGCGGCCATGGGGTACAGAATTTGTAAATGCAAGAAGGGCTTGTTCATCCGAGCTTAAATCGCCAATAGCTTGCGCAACAAATGTTGCTATAAGGGAAATGGAGCAAAGACAGTGGTAAATGTAGCAGATTTTCATGTTGAGACTTCCTCTCATATTAAAGGAATGCCCTTAGTATATTTCCTGCAACGATATCAGGGGTACAGGTACACAAAAAGAATATGAACAGAGGAACACATTAGATTTGACTAGTTGAAAATACAAATTGAAATGTATGTGTAAGTAAAGTTACACAAACCTTAAATGTTCAAAGTTCTAACAGCAAAAGCTAGTTTTATTTATATCAAATAATCATTGCTCAAACTAAAAGAAATAAACACAAAAGCATAACAAGGCAGGTGGAGAACAAAGGTCCAATGGGGCCTTTGTTTCATTTCTTTAACACCACAAATGTATGTGCTTGAGGGAAGTAGATGACAATAATGAAACATCTCCTACTAAAGGAAGAGAAAAAGGATGGCATATGAGTATAATCCGTATACATATTAGCCGCGCGCCATGAACCCTTTGAATAGTCTTTGACTCGTAAACAGGCAAAAAGTTTCTACAGAGAGCGCCTTCATTCTACCACACATGATGGAGAAACTTCTACACTATGTTTGGTTCAAGGAATTTGGAAGGAAAAGAAAAGAAAACAATTTTCTCTCATTGTCCCTACCAAAGTCCGAGGAATTTGGTTTTTCCTCCTCTTAGTACAGTTTGCCTTTTCATTTACTTTTCCTTCCACTTTTTTTTTCTTTTCTTCTCTAATCAAATATGAAAAATTATTTTCCCTCTAATTTTCTTTTCTTTTTCCTTTCAATTCCTTGAACCAAACATAGCGCTAATGTGTCAGCATGAGACTTTACTCCATGGTGACTATACGTTGAGTGGGGGTCCCACCGAATTTGCTGGAAATGCAACGGTGACACACATAGGGCACCCCTACATGTATGGGAGTGCAGTTATCCGGGCTATGGAGCATTAAAATTGTGTTCTTGAGATTTATCTAAATAAGAGGGAAATAATATAAACATCTCTTTTAGATTAAATTTATTACTCCCTCTGTTTCATATCTTTATTCACACTTTACTTTCCTTTTCTGGTGTATTCTTCTCATTTCCTAAAATAGAAATAAAACACATTTAAACTTACCATTTTACCCTTCTTTTTCTCTCTACCGTCTACCCTACCCCTTCTTCTCCAACTCCCTCTGCGTCAGACCTTCCCCCACCCCGTCTTCTTCTTCCCAGTTCACAGACCTCTGTTCTTTTCCTTTAGCCCCCTCCCCTTTCTTCTTCATCAACCCCCCTCTTCCCTCTCTTCTTCTTCCCTGCGTCAACTACCTCCCCTCTGTCATTTGGGGAAGTCATCTACCATCAATTCAACATTTGAATTTGTTTGAATAAGAGATTGCCTCGATTCAGTGTTTTTTTAAGTACGATTCAGTGTTTTAATTCATTTGAATTGTCTAACAAAGCTTTAGGTATGGGGAAGTGATTTTGGGAAGTCGTGGAACAAAGTTTTAGATCTAAGAGCAGTGGGTATACTCTTAACGCCGCTGGGCGTTAAGGAGCATTTCACGCTTGGGGCGTTAAACACCGCCCCCTCCCCCGTTAAACCAGCTTTAAATTTTCCGCGTTATAAGTTTGACGCAATTTGAAGGCGTTTGACGCCTTCTTTTTCTTCTCTCCCCCTCTTTTTTCCTCTTTTCTTCTCTATAAATTAAATTAAATTTAACACAAATATAAATTTCTCTCTATCTATCATCTTTTTTTAAAAAATTATTATTCAAGTATTTTTTATATTGTCATAAATATAATTTTTTTATTTAATGAATGTAGTTTTTTATAATGAATGTAATTTCTTTATTTAATGAATGTAATTTTTTTTATTTAATGAATTTAATTTTTTTTATTTAATGAATGTAATTTTTTCTAATGAATGTATTTTTTAACAAACTATTATCATTTCAATTCTTTTAAATAATTAAATAATTAATGTTTATTAATTTAATTTTAGAAGATGTTTATTTAAAAATGTAAAAAATGAAGGTTTGAAGCCCCAGTTTGAAGCCTCGGGGCTTCAAACCCATTTCCAGTGAATTTTGGGTGTAAGTTAAAGCTGACGTGGCAGAGAGAGAAAGTTTGAAGCCTCGGTTTGAAGTCCCGGGGCTTCAAACCCATTACCAGTGCTCTAAGAAAGCAATCGCCCGAATTTGTGAAGGTTATTTTGGAAAGGTCAATACACTTTTTATACTACCTCCGTCCCAGAGTATTTGTCCACTTTCATTTTTACACACCATCCAATACATTTCTTTAATCCATTTTATCTTGTAATTTGTATATTAAAAAATTATAGAAATTATATATTAATAATCTACTCCGTATATGTTAAGACAAATCAAACAAGATCACACATGACTATATTTAGGCTTACACATTGAGAGAATTTGATGAGTCAAAGTGCTTAGATGAACAGTTCTAAAAATCAAAATTGGACGAATACTCCGGGACGAAAGGAGTATTATATTAAAACCCGTATTAATCAGTTTCAACTTGGAGGAAGGAAGTAATAATTGAAGTGTTACATTATAGGGAGTACTTAAAAGACAAGGGTTGAATTTTTTGTGATTTTAAAGTCCACTTATGAAAATGTGAACTTTCTTATATAATACTCATGAGTTAGGAGCAATGATTTTAAACTCGGACAGGAGGTCGAGCCGGCGGGAAGGACGGGTCCCGGTTCAATCCCGGTTTTTCCCGGTCGACTTGGTTTTCTGAGTTTTTAGGGGTTGGACCGAATTGTTGTGTGTTCGGGTTGCGGTTTGATAGGTCGGACCGTAAGGTTAATGCAAACCTTCTCAAATTTTTCATAGCCCAACAAATAAACATTTTGTTATTTTAAAAGACTTAATTTTTTATAATAACAATGCACTAAGATTCAACATGAACTTTACGATTAGGTAAGAATTTGTCTATGTGTTATGTGAGAAAAAGCTCAATATTTTTTTAATGAGGAATTTACGTAAATAGTACTAAAACATAAAGACTTTCTCTAAATAGCCGCACATGTGTTTTTTCTCGCACTTTTAGTCATTATCCACTAGTCATTATTCAAGTAAATGTTTGTCATCACGGGTCATTATAGACATTATTAAGTGCTATTTAGGTAATAAAACAATTTAAGTACTATTTAGAGAAATGATTTAAGTTTTAGTGCTATTTAGTGCAAATATTTTTTTTATTATTTCTACACTAACCGCTCGAAATCAAACATCGAAACTCCACACAATGATCAGTTCCATCCTCAGATCTGCAATAATGAATCTCCGCAAATATCCTCGAACGGAGAAATGCAAATGAAAATTACATACAGTACCTTGAAGCAATTGCTGATCGAAAACAATGGCGTCTCTGCAAATACTGCTTCCCCGCACTACAAGGAATCGAGATCGAAGCCTGAGCCAGGAGCCTAGGAGTTTGAATTCGCCGACGACGCCTCGAACCTTGCAATCGATCAGACGCGCGAATCCGCGGCGGAACGCCGACTGCATTCCCGACGAGACGGACGGTTAACTGATATCTTCTAGCTTAGTAGTAAACTCCAATGAGGAGGATGTGAAGAAGAAGGAGAAGATCGCAGGATTAAGTTGAATTTCGAACAAAAAAGAGAGGGGAGAAATGGTGGTTGAAATTCGGGGAAGAAGAAGAAGAAGAGTCCAGTAGTGTTTCTGTTCGCCCACGTTGAGAGAGTTGGAAAGTGGGAAGAGAGGAAAGCGGGGCGGGCGGGCGGGCGTGGCTTTTGGATTTTCGGTCGCTCCCGTTTCAACGAGTTTTTAGGGAGAGAGAAAGTGTCTCGAGTGAGAGCAATATAAACAATAGTAAAAATTTGTTTTTTGTCATCTGATTTATTTCAATTTCTATCCGTAGTTGATTTAAGAGTAATTTACTTAAATTGGATTAAAACATAATGACGTTATCAATATAGGATTATATGTTTTTATTTCTCAATGTAGGACCTTTGGTCATTATCTATTAATCATTATTCAACTAAATGTCCAACAGATCACTTGAACATTATTCTTCTCACTAGTCATTATTAAGTACTATTTAGAGAATAAAAAAGTTTAAGTCCTACATTGGGATATGACTTATGTTTTAGTCCTAATCAGTGCAAATTTCACTTGATTTAACCCCGAATCCTTGGGTAACACCACTTGAGATACATCACATGTACACCGAGCCAAAAATAGACACACACAGATACTTAATATCTGTGCGTGCACTGAGATTAAGTGTCTGTGTGTGCCGATTTTAGGCTTAGACTACACGTGGTGTACCCCAAGTGGTATTCCTCTCGCACTCCTCTTGATTTAATTATACTAGGTATGATTTATTCCCACAACATAAATATGGAGCATTTTTTTCTAAGGTGAACGTGTAATATATATAATCAACAAACAAATAAATTTTCGATTTGTATGTAATTATTTGTTTGGAGCTTTTTATTTTGACTTATTATGTTTGTAGTATTGTAAAAAGAGATATGTAAATTATTATTCTATCTCCATCGATAGTCTCAATCCTAATTAATTTGCACTTCACTACCAAATTTGACACTAACATAGAATAATCAAGTTTGGTACTATCAAAGATAATCCCAATCACACACAAACATTACTCTTCACTACACTATACCAAGTTTGATACTAAAATACAAAATTAATAAAAAGTTACAGTCCCTCTGCAATGATATGTATATTTTAATTTATCAAATAATCAATATAAAATTACCTAAAAAAAATTAGCGAGAGTCTCAAACAATAAAAATGACGATGATTTAAGGGAGAAGGGAGAAGTAATTGACAGAAAGCACACCCTACTACTCGAGTAATCCCAATGCAAAGTTTTAGATCCACAAGTGTTAACTTAGAGGTAGTTGGCATTTATTTTTATTAGGTTGAAAGGGGTGTTAAGGCATTCAATACTGGGTGGGATAGGTGGTGAATGGTTAAAAAACCACATTTGAATTGATTGACTACTGAGTGAATTGATGATATAGTATTATTATTATTATAGTGCTATAATTCAATCTTGCACCGTTGCACTCATGTAAGGAGTGTCTTCTTCTTCTAAATATAGGGACCGTCCTCATGACACTGCCAGACAATATTATGAGCTGATTCGTAGGCGCACCCGTGGTCGTTCGTATCCCATTCGTATCGTAACGCATAACTAGAATTTTATTTATGAACGGAGCGTATATATTTCCTTATACACATGGTCAATTGATCCTAGTTTATTCAGAAAATTACTCACGGGTGACGCGAATTTTGTCGAAATAACTTTCAGGTCCCTTTATTTAAAAAAAAGACAATCGAGGTTCTTATATTTTGTTGTAATGACTGAGAGGGGACATTTCATCCAATACATCATCCGTAAGTGTTAATTAATGTATTTTTTTTCCTATTTTTCCAATACTGATTTTTCCTGTTTTGCCATTACCTTGTTTTTTTTTAAAACAAATTTTTATTTCATTTAATATAATACAAACAATTTTGAATTTTTATACGATTTTATAGAAGAAATTCTAAAATAACACTTTAAAAAATAGTAACAAAATGAAAGAAAAACAATGAAATAAAAAAAGGAGCGACTTAAGATTTACTACCTTAAAACATTTAGAAAAGAATGGGAAAAAAATACATTTATTAACGTTTATAGATGAAATATTGAATGAAATATCCCTTTTCAGTCATTGCAACAAAATGTAAAGACCTATGCTATCTTCTTGAAAATAGAGAGAGCTGAGAGACTCATAAGTAATTTTATGTAGTTTATTCCGTACGAGTGGGGGACACCATTGAGCCATTTGGTCCAAAATCGACACAACACATCAATTGATCACAATGAAACAAATTGGGTGTGATACAAAGTGGATTTTGATTATTACTCCATTAATTATTTATTATTATTATTATTATTGTTATTGTTATTATTATTATTATTAGATTTATAGAATACAAAACAAGTCTCCTGTTATTTCAATTTTTCTCATCAAATTATATTTTCCACGTATATCCTTTTGGGCTCATCAGACTATCAGAGACTCAAAGCCATCTTTTTCTTTCTTACTGTATATTTCAACCATTTGTCTTTGTTTTTGTTCTTTTGTTGGGTTTTCTTGTTGCAATTTGTATTCATAGTCAAACCTCATATTGTCGAAATTGTCAATCCACAGCTCATAAAGGAAATCATTATTTATTTATATTAGTAAAGGATAATCCAACCACATTACTAGGGTCCCACAACACATATACTCCTTTTGTCCATGAAAACTTTTCCTTTTTTTGACTTTTTTATCAAATAGTGACACACTTTGATTATATACTCTGAAAAAAGTATATTGAATTATAATATAAATTTAATTTAATTGAGTTTATCTTAAGATAACATTTCTTTCATTAGATTGTGTTTAATTTATGGTCAAAGAATGTTACTATTTGACTTAAAAAAGTTGAGCAGGAAAAGTTTTCAAAAAACAGAGGGAGCATATTATATTGGACATTTAAAAATAATCACCAAGGCTCAAGTGACATTTGGAGGGAAATGTCATGGGATGACTCGGGGCGTTCCGGTAAACCTTCCCACCCGGCCCCGACCTGAACACTCCCCTTCCCCCTTCAATTGTACCTTACAAGTTGATTTTGAGTTTGGAGTCAAACCTTCCCGTAAAAATAATAGTGAAACTATTATTTAGTTTTTTTAATAATAAAAAAAGAAGAATAAGAGAATATTACTTCATAATAATAATAAACAATATAGGTAAAAGGAAATTATACTTTGTAATAAATAAATATTAATAATTAGTTTTAATATTAAAAATTATTAATACTCCGTATTAATTTTGAATATTAATGATAAAAATTTAAAAGAAGAAAATAATACTTTGTAATAAATAATAATAATAATAATAATAATAATAATAATACTACGTAGTCATAATAAGAATGGTGATATTTTTTTGAAAACCAAAAAAATGATGATGATGATGATAACAATAATAAGAACAACAACAACAACAGCAATAATAATAATAATAATAATAATAATAATAATAATAATAATAATAATAATAATAATAATAATAATATAAGGAGAGAAGAAGCAACAAAGGTGAGGGGTGGGGGATCTTGAAAATAGGAAGTGAAAGCTAAGGAGAAGGAGAAGAGAAACAAAAACAGGGAGAGGTGGGGGAAGTACGTAAAGGGAATGATGATGATGATGATGGTGTTGATGATGATGATGAACTTGACGGAAAAATGGGGATGGATGGAGAATGGATCAAAAATCCCCTCTTGGTATGTTTTTTCATGATTCAGGGTACCTGAGAGTATATTTTTAAAATTGAAGATACCCAGTAGTTCTTACCACAAAACTGGGGGTACCTGGGAACAATTTTTTGAATCTATAGTGGAAAATTATATGAGTCATTTTCATTTAGACCTTTTTGTGCCATTTACTCTTGAATTTTTCGAAAATTGCGTGAATTCACTCAAACTTTAAAGCTTAAACCAATGTCCACTGAATTTTTAAAAATGTTGCACCAATGGTCACTCTGTATCAGATTTGGGAGTGCATTAATCACACTCACATCTAGTACAAGTATGAATTCACATAAAGTCATATATTACACGTGAGTTCTGCAATATATCTTTGCCAAATGTTATTTTCTATATTTTAAATATCTTTAAACCCTAGATAATTATTCTTAATTATTTAGTTGTCACTAACCAAATTTGAAGGCCGGACCTCAGTCGATAAAGCTCGTCATCAACCGATCAACCTCTTCATCAATCCATGACATCTTCATCAAACTCCAACACATATATTGATGAGCGTGTGATTATCGCACTTTCAAATCTGACACAGAGGAACCGTTGGTGTAACATTTTTAAAAATTCAGGGGGGATTGGTGTAATTTATTAAGTTCTGGTAATTCGTGCAATTTTCAAAAAGTTCAAAGGTAAATGGCACAAAAAACTCTTTTCATTTAGCATATTATTTACCCAAAGAAATGGAATTTATGAATATCATCCTCGTGGGAACTCATATTAACTACTCCATCCGTCCAAAAAACTCTTTCTCCTTTCTTTTTTTCTCCTCCCACAAAATCGTTTCCTTTTTTATTAAAAAAACATTTTTACCACTACTAATCCTTAACATATGTATCACATCATATCTTTTTACTAAAATTATACTCCTTGTATCTTAGTTTTACCCATCATATCAAGGATATTATTGGAAAGTCAAGACAAAAGTATCCATCTATGGAGTATTAAATTTCTTAGAAGTCAAAACAGGAACATCTTCATGAGATGGAGGAAGTATATATCTAATGCCACGACCGCAACTAGAAGAAATTAAATTCTGGATAATGAGGATGGAGATATTTTTTTGATATACAAAATTATATGGATAAACTATTTCTCTAAGCACCCCCCTCAAGTTTAAAAACTGTGAAGACTTGGCTACGCTCTCAGATATAGGTCATGTATGAAGGGCATATGTGATCCTCTGAATGTAGTTTATTTAAAAAAATTATCTAATCTGATTCCAATAAGAATAAGTAATAAGTAAAAAGAATATGTTAAGGAAAACATGGCCAAAGCTATGGTGGAAAAGCAAGACCAAAATTAAATCTTAAATCACCATTGGGCATGCATTGTATTCACCCACATGCAGATTTTGGTTTGTCTACAAAAAAAGGGATCCCAATCACATGGTTTTGCAAAACCTTTGGTGAAACTGCTAAAAACTAAAACTACATCACACCTCAAAATTATACACACTTTGATTAGTCACACTCATAAATGACCATTTCTTCTTGCATTCTTCCTTCTCCCTTTGCCTTTGGTTTCTTCATCAACAGCCACAATCTCTACCTGTTGCGCCGTTATACTGCAGGATCGAGTGTTCCTTCTTGATGGCTTCTCCGTTTCCCCAACCTCTTTGGGGGAATTCGCCGAATATTTCTTCTTTCCCTTCTTCGCGGGCTTATGTTGGATTTCTTCTTCTTCATCATCTTTTTCTTCCCTTTCATCACTCTCAATGCCATGGCTTGGATATTGGGATGCTTTAACTATATACACCTGTGGGAATTCAAGTAACTCATGTTTAAAGTCATGTTTGGATCATGATAAAATAGGACTCATATAGAGTTTGGGAGCAAAGACTGCAAAGCAAGAGAGTGACCTTGAACTTGGTAGGCTCAACCAAGTCAAAAACCAAAGCATCCCCATCATCAAGCTTGTGTTCCAATGCAAATGCTCTCCATCCACCACTAAGCCCAGCTCTTTTGCTGATGAACACAGCATCATATTCACCACCTTCCTCATCCTCTAACACCATCTCCACAGTTGATTTGGGTAGATGAACCTCACAGAATCTGTTTGGAAGCCCCTGCAATCTTTACATACTAAGGGTCCGTTTGGAGCTCCGACAATGCTAAAAAAATGGAGGGGAGCGGGGTGGGGGGTATAGCTGAAATACA